CTGTCTGTCTGCCTCTTCCTTCTTTATACCAAATAGTACCAAAATAACACTATATTCTCTTCTACAGAACTCAGTTCAGTTCAGTAAAGAGTTTTACGGCACTTGCAACACAATAAGGTCATATAAGTGCCGAAGATTAGAGGTGTTACAAGAGAGTAACAACAAACGTAAAAAAGAAGGAGGAGAGATAAGGACGATAGATGTTTAAGAGGAAATAAGGAGCAAACCACACCAGAGCACCCGCCAACCACCCACACAGAACTCATCACCGTTCATAAGATGTACACAACAAATTCTAAAAATTCCCCATACTTTTTATCTGCTTCATTTCGCTACGTCTACTTTCTATCCGTTTGTGGTTTGAGGGTGCTCTTGTGTTGTTTGCCTTCCTTTTTTTCTGATCAAATATAAATCTACATCATCTTTTTCTCTCCACCTACTTCTCTACGCACATTACTATCTTATCTTCGGCACTTAGATAACCGGTTAGAGTGTCAGCTCGGTCCGACCTTGTGTCCTTGGGAAAGACACTTTACACGAATTTCGCATTTGGCTTGGTCCTGTCGAAGATGGACGTTAATCCTGGAGGTCCCACCTCTTAAATAACCTAATAGCGTTTATAATATTTCACCATTTGAATGACCTAATTGTGTTGCAAGTGCCGTAAACCTCATACTTAATTCATCAAACTCTTTTTCTTTCCCCAGGCGTCAACAAAAACAGCGCCAACCACACGCCGGAGAGCAATGGCGTCCCCCAAGCAGACGACCTCGATTTCTCTCCAGCCTCGTCAAATTCGACTACGACGACGCCACCGAAGGCGACCCCACACCAATCCGGGTCACCAGAATCCACATTTTCTGCAGAGCCCCGTCAGTCAAAACCCATCACACCCAGCAGTAAGATCTCCACTTTCCCTTCAGCTCTGTTCACATCCCCGAAACCTTCATCATCCTCACAATTACAACTATCGTCATCCTCCCCCGCAGCTGCTCAAGAATCGATGACGTCATCGCCAGGCTTCGAACAAAATTCGAATTACGATTATTCGACTACGAAATTCGGTGAGGAAGACGAGTGGAGTATTAGCATGTCGACTCCGTCTAGAAATGACGGCAAGCAGGCGGGTGTGGTATCGGTTCCGAAACTTTTTCTGGACGATTTGTTCCCGTCTCGGCGCCGAATTTTGCAGGAGGAGTTAGCGAAACAGCCTGGACAACAGCAGCAGGAGCAACAACAGCAGCAGCAGCAGTCACAACAGCAGCAGCCGGAGGAGAAGAAACAGCAATACGACTTGCTTCAGCCACTACCGCCTCTGCCTCTCCTTCTGAGTGCAGTCAAAGTGGACCTCGACCAGCGTCTGCAGCAACAGCAGCAACAGCAGCAACAGCAGCAACCGTTACCAAGAATAGACAACTCGATCCTAGCATCATCTTTACAACGACAGGAACATGAGCAGCAACAGCAGCAGCAGCAGCAACAGC